GCAGGGAGGCAGGGAGTGAGTGAAGGAGGTGCGGGGGGTTGCGGGCAGGCAGGCAGGCGGTGGGCAGGCAGGCAGGCAGGCAGAGAGGGAGGCAGGAAGGGAGTGTGGGGGGGTGGAAGGGGAGGCTGTGAGGTTGGGGTCGGCGGCAGAAGGGGAGGCTGGGGGTGGGAAGAGGCCGCATGCGGCGGAGGCAAGTCTAAAGGAGGATGTGTGGTGGCCCAGGCTGCTGGCCGCCCCGCGGATGGGGCGTCACCCCCCGCAGCCAGCCTGGCGCCCGCCAGCCTGGCGTCCCACCTGGCGTGGGGATGATGTAGCTGATGTTCTCTGTGTCCTCGTTCTTCAGGCTCTGGAAGGCGATGCCCACGCACTCGCCTGCTAGGGCGCCGCGGGGGGGCGGCGCAGGTGTGGGCCGCGGGCACGGGCAGCAGCGGCGGCAGGGGGCGGCTGCCTCCTGGCCCCGTGCCACAGCCACCCTGTCACACCCACCCATCAACACACACTCCCCCATCCAGAAATACCACACACACGCACGCACACACACACACACATGCCGCGCTCCCTCTGCCCACTCAGCCAGCACTAGCCCCAGTCCCCGCTCCCCCGGGCCGGACGGCCGGACGGCCATCCAGCCATCCAGCCATCCAGCCAGCCCTACCCACCTCTGTCGTTGAAGGCGGGGCCGCCGCTGTTGCCGCTGTTGATGGCGGCGTCCACCTGGATTCCCAGCAGCTCGGCGGCGCCGTGCGCGTAGCCAGTCACCTGACAAACGGAGCGGGCAGGCGGGGAGGAGCGCCATGTCAGCATGCCGTGCCACGTCAGCATGGCAGCAGCCTGGCGCCAGGCCTTTGCAGGGGGCGCGGCAGGCAGGCGACCCAGGCAGGCGGGCAGGCGCACGCAGGCAACGGCCGGGGAGGCTGTCTGGCTGGGATGGAACCTGGTGGGAAGCTACAGGCGGGCGCGAGGCAGGCAGCGCGGCCCCGCACCTCAATGCGGCTGACCACCCCCGAAGTCACAGACATGGTGTCGCCGCCGATTGGGTACCTGCAGCACCAATGGCAGTACCATGGACAGATCAGCAGGGGGGCAACGTCGCAGGCACGGGCGCTGCCACCACCAACCGCAAGCCACAACCCCTGTCCACGCCCCACCACGCCCGTGCCAGCAGATGCCCACACAAACGCCCACCAGGGGCGGCCACACAGCACCACCCCGGCTAGGGGTGGCAGGGAGGCTGTGTGGCCGTCTCCCCAGCGGCGCCACCCACCCGATGACCGTCACGCTGTCCTGCAGGAGCGGCAGGCCCCCAAAGTGTACCGCCTCCAGCCCCTGCCAAAAGCTCTCGTCCTCCACTGCAGCCAGGCACGCACGGCGGGCGGGGAGGTGCCCAGGCAGGCAGGCAATCGGGCGAAGGAGGCTGGGAGAGTAGGGCAGGCACCAGGGTGCCGAGCGGAAGCCAGCTGGCCCCTCCAGCCGGCGCCAGCATGCTGCGCTGGCCCCCCGCAGAGGCCCGCTCCCAGAATGCAAGGCCCAGCAGCGGGGGCACCTGGTGCAGTACAGAGCACCAGGTGCAGCACATGCAATACAGCGGTACCGCGCCTCACCCGTCAGCAGCGCTATGTCGCACTCCATGCCAATGGCCAGCACCTGCGCCACGTACTTGGTGTCGCTGCCGCGCCGCTTCACCTTGACCTGCGGTATGGCCGGCGGTACAGCTCAGCAGTACATGTCAACGATGCAGTCTGCGGCGGCACGAGCGAGTCCTGGGCGTGGGCCGGCCGGCCGCGGCGGCAGTGGCGGGCGCACAGGCGCATGCTGCTGCCGCATGCTGCTGCCGCGCCGCGCCCAAGAGCCCGCGCAGCCGTGCAGCCGTGGTGGGACGTGCGGGATACAATACAGACGGCAGCGGCCTGCGGCGCCTTGCAGAGCCCGGGGAGGCCCCAGCCAGCCAGCCAGCCAGGCAGGCGCCCACCTGCGTGTGGTGGTCCACGCAGTGTGCATTGGTGAGCAGGCGGCGGCCTGCGATGACGAAGCCGGAGCCCGAGGAGGAGAACTGGCGCTTGCGCTGCCAGGGCAGGCTGAAGTTGGGCTCGCTGTGCACGGTGAAGACCTGCGGGGAGGAGCGGAAGGAGGCGAAGCGTGAAGGTGTGTGTGTGTGTGTGTGGTCTGATGGTGGGTGGACACATGTCCGTATGGCTTGAACAAGGGAGTAAAGGCACCAGAGACGGCGGGGAGGCGGGCAGGCAGGCCGCCGCGCCGCCAGCGAATGCGGCACCGGCAGCGCGGCCCGCGGCGGCGGGTCTGCTGTCGCCGCCTGCGCTGCCGCCAGCCTGCTGCGTGCCGCCCCGCCCTGCACCGCCTGGACGGCAGCGCCCGCGCCTGTCCAGGGCCGCGGCGGCCGGGCTGTCCCTGGCCCACACTGAGGGCCCCACCTGCAGGATAATCCCACCTGCAGACCTATCCGCAGCCTGCAGCTCTACTGGCCCCCGCCTCACCTTGACCACGGCCTCCATCAGGTGGTCGCCTGTGCGGCGGTTGGTGGGTGCTGCCTCGTGGCTGTTGGGCCCGCTGAGCGGCGACATGAGGTCGTCGGGAGGACCGGTGGCATCAGCGGCGCCCGCAGCCGCGGATGTGGTGCAGCCGTCCCCTGGGATCCCCCGCTCCTTGCGTCGCTTCTTGCCGGGCTGCTCGCCGCCGCCGGACAGCGGCTCGGCGGCCGCCTGCGGGCTGGGGCCCACGGGCTCGGCCCCCGCGCGCCGGCGGCCGCTCTGCCGAGTGGAGCCGGGCGGCGCGGCAGCGGCGGTGGTGGGGGAGGCCTGCGCGGCGCATTGCAGGGATCCCTTCGGGGACCTGCTGCTGTGGCGTGGGCAAAATGCGTGGCAGCAGACAGGGCTGCACACTTCTCCATAAGCGCCCCGCACCTCGCTCCCAGGGCTGGGCTCTAGCGCCTTCTCAGCGCCATTGGCAGCCGCCCCCTTGCGTTTTGGGGGCATCCGGGGCGGTGATGGCTGCGGTGGCTGGCCGACCAGAACCCAAACAGTGCCTTTTCTGATCTCAAACAATCGCCTGTTGATGCAGATTGGCAGGGATCGATCGCGAAAGTCCAACCAACGGGAGCGCCGGCCAATTGAGAGCCGTTCCATTTCCTACGTGGCGCGAAAGTTTCTCCTGGGCTCATCGCGCCGCTGCAGGCTTGCATCGTTACAGCTGCAATAAGAGGTAGATTGCGACGCGCTGCCCTTGGCTTTGTCACCTCTCGCCCTCGATCACCCGGGCTCCTGGGCTCTCCAGCCTCAGCTGTGCTCGCGCAGCCTGCGGCATTGGCAGCAGCGTCACGCCATGGCGGCAGATGGCAGCTTAGAACTAGCGCAGCTGCGGCAGGCGCTGGAAGGCAGCGCCCACCCGGGCTTTGCGGCCTTGAGAGACTATCTGCGACAGGCAAGCCTATGGAGAAGGGCCTGGACGGCTCGCCGCTGTCCCTCCTCTTGCCGCGGTGCCCGCCCGCCCGCCGACTCGCCGCCTTGTGTGCTGCCGGAGACTCTGCTGCTGGAGAGGAGCTCAGAGAGGAGCTTGACTGTTGACACTCCATATACACCAATCCGCATGCATGCCATGCCTGATGGCTTTGCCCAGGCGTGCCGCCGCGCCTGCCGCTGTTGGTGGCCCTCCCTGTTGGGCGCTGAGACCGCTGCTCGTTGCGTGCCCGTCCCGCTGCGTGAAGGTGCGGGCGCTGCGGGTCCGGGAGACGGAGGGCGTGGTGCGCTACGGTGCAGAGCTGCTCAGCCGCCACGCCCGCAAGGTAGATGCCGACGAGAGTGAGTCCTCCATCGCCCCCGCCGACGCCTTCCCTTGCATTTGCGCCCGCCTGCTTGTCGCTCCCAGATGCCGGCTGCGCTAACCAGGCGCCTGCCGCTGTCAGTGTCCGCTTGCCTGCTTGCCCTTGAGTGGCAGCCGCACAGCCGGGGACAGACATGCAGCTGGTGCATGCCAATAGCAGCCTGGTGTGCCATGCCCTTCCCTCCTCCCATGCCGCCCTGCAGTGTGGGAGGTGCATGAGCAGGTGGCGGTGGCGGCGATGGAGGCCGGGTGCAAGCAGCTGGCGCTGCGCCTGGTGCAGAACGTGCACAAGCGGTTCCCGGAGGGTGCCCGCGCCAGCCGGCTGACGGTGAGACGCTGGACGGGTGGGGGCTTTGGGGCATTAGCTTTCACGTCACTCCAAGGGGTCTGCTTGCCGGGCTTGCAATCGAGCTGCTTCAGCCGATCCCCACCACGGCAAGCTGTGGCACTGTTTCGCCACATGCCACCTTCCCGCCCTTCCACCTGCCCTTCCACCCGCTCTTCCACCTTCTGCTCATCGCCTCGCCATCTGTGCCGCTGCATTGACGTACCGCTTGTGCTGCTGCGGTACAGGGCATGTACTTTGAGATGATGGGCACCCCGGGGGAGGCTGAGGAGCTGTACAAGAAGGAGCTGGAGAAGGATCCAGCCAACGCCATCATCCTCAAGCGCATGGTGCGTGGTGTTGTGGGAGTGTGTGTGTTGGTGTTTCACCCCCCCCACACACACCACTTCCACCACCACACACACACACACACACTCAAAACGCCCCCATGGTGCATGTCCGTGTGTGGATTTGTTTGTCGCCGGGTGTGTATCGGACAGTGCCGCTGCCGCCTCGCGCGCAGCCGGCCCGCTAAAGCGGCTGGGTGTGTGGGCTGGCGGCCAAGGCTGCTGCCCTTCATTCCAAGGCAGCTGGGGCGCTGCCTGCCAGGAACATGCGACCACCGGCGCTGGCACCCTGTAACACACCCTCCCTGCTGCCCCTCCCTGGCTGCCATGCCTGCGTGCGCTGCAGGTGGGCCTGCGGCGGGGGCAGGGCGACCTGGCGGGTGCCGCGGAGCTTCTGAAGCAGTACCTGGCGGTACACACCACCGACTGGGTGGCCTGGGAGGAGGCAGCTGACCTCTACCTTCACCTCCAGGTGCGGCATGAGGGCTGGGCGGTGCGGGGATGTGCGCTGTGCCACACTCCCTGCTGCCGGGGCACATGCCCGCCCGGCTGCGGCACCATGATGCAGCAATGTGCTGCCCAGCCGCGCCGCCTTGTGGGCCTGGAGCCATGGCCGCGACACAACAAACACTGGCCACACAACACACGCTCACACACACACACAAGCCGCTCCCCCCTCCCTCCCTCCTCCGAGCAGATGTACCAGCAGGCTGCCTTCTGCCTGGAGGAGCTGCTGCTGCACCAGCCCACCGACGTGGGGCGCCACCTGCTGCTGGCCGACGCCCTGTACACCATGGGTGGCGCGCACAACTGGCGCGCCGCCCGCACCCAGTACTCAGGTAACTGCGCTGGGCTGGGTGGCTGGCTGGGGGCTGGGTGGTTGGGGTTGGATGGATGGATGGCTGTCTGGGTGGGCTGGGTGGCTGGACGCAGCCGGGGCAGCCAGGCGGACACTCCCTTGAGGGGAGAGAGGCCTGGGCTCCTGGCGGTTGATGAGCAGAGCAGAGTCGAGGTGGTGGTCGCAGTTGGGCGCGTGCAGCTCACCGCCGCCCCCTGCCCGCTGCCGGCTGCGCTCCCCGGCCTGCAGGTGTGATCGAGATGACCAAGGGCCAGAACCTGCGGGCACTGTACGGCGTGTGTGCATGCGCGGCGCAGCTGTCGGGCGTGCGGCGCAGCGAGCGCGGCGGCGGCGCCGACGTGGAGGAGCTGCCTCGGCTGGCGGCGGCGGCGCTGCAGCAGCAGTACGCGGTGCACTGCCCCGACAAGCTGCCGCTGGTGCGCAGCATGCTCAAGGCGCAGGGCCTGCTCTAGGCGAGGCGGAAGGGCAAAGCGCCTTGGGAGGGTGGCTGCCGGCACCTGCGCTGCTCGGCCCGGCGGCGATGGCAGCCGCGCTTGCAGCGTGGGCATGTGGCACGCGGCCTGCCGCCTGTAACACTGGCAGTGGCACGCATCCTGAGCAGGGTGGAGACCTTGCATGATGATGACTGCTGAGGGTGGTGTTTGCGGCGGCAGACCAGTGGTGCCTGTACAGCCCTGCTGCACTATGAACCCGGCACAAATGGCGGACGCCCGCCGTCACCTGGGATTCAGGGAGCATGCCCAGCTGGTGCTGGGCGGGACAGGCTCGCTCCGAAACCGCACGAGAAGGGTATCCTTGAAAGCGAGGGCAACCGAGGCCCTGAGGGCCGAGGCTGGGCTTGAAACAGCTTCAACACACTAGTGACCTCGCTCAGGGCCTCCAAAGCCACCTGGGCCTCCAAAACCAGAACAGACCATGGAGCCAGCCCCAGCAGTATCAGAAAAGCGTGGGAGGCAAGGGCAGGAAATGAGGGTAGCTAATCGCTGCCCTGCCCGTGGTGCATTGCAGCAGTGCCCCTTTGCCTTCCTTGCTGCCACGTGCTGCCATGCTGGCTGTGACCATCGGAATCCTCACTGTTTGTCCTGTCCATTCACCTGCAGCTCTTTAAAATCTGGATGGACACCCAGGCGCCAGCCAGGCTGCAGTCTGACAATGGCAAGGAGTTTGTCGCCGGCATCATCCTGGAGCTGTGCCAAGCGTTTGGCGTGACCGCCATCAATGGGGCCATCGGCAAGCCGCAAAGCCAGGGCTGCGTGGAGCGCAGCAACCGCACCGTCAAGGACAAGATCTCTGCTCAGCTGCAGATGGCTCCCACCATTGCCTGGCGCTACCAGGTACAGCTTGCCTGCATGCCAGGCGGAGCCAGCCCCAGCATACTGACTGCCTGCTGTTGCTGCTGCTGCCTGCTGCTGTTTGGCGGTGCTGTGTTGCATAACGACCACCATATCTGCTGCTCTGCCTTCTAAGGCTGTTCATTGTCCTGTTGTTCAGGTGCGGCGCGTGCAAGGGATGATCAACCACGAGCCCGCTGCAGCGCTGGGCCGCAAGATGACCCGCTCGCAAGCGCTGTTTGGCGAGCCCAGCCAGCGCGTGCTGCAAGCACCCGCCGAGTTCATTGCCCGGTGCTGGGCATTGCCAGGTATGCAGCA